ACCAACCTACTAGGCTACACTTGTAGCTTGACTAAAGCAGGACTCCTCTACCCTCTCACTATACAAGTCTACAAGTCTTACCCTCTATACTCTATTCTGTTACTATTCCTAAGGATTAGGACTAGTAAAGTGAGTATATCTTACAATACAAGTTAACAGTCTCCTTCAAACATTAACTAGACTTATTAGGTTTATTAAGTGTTTGATCTTTGGAACATGTAATGATTTAGTTAGGATGTCCACCCTCTGTTCATCTGTTTGAACATACTTAATATTAATAAGTTGTTCCTCAACATAGCACTTAACAAAGTTGTACTGTAAACCAATATACTTAGTTTGTGTTGAGTATTTTGTTTTGTCTACTTCTATAGATTTAATTACTACTTGATTATCACAGTAAATATTTGTAAGTGTGTTAGAGATCTGTAGTATCTCCTCTGCTAAGTATTGTAATGCTATAGCTTCTTGTATTCCATTTGATAGCACAATTAATTCTACTTTGTATGTTGATAAAGAGACTAACTTTTGTCCTTTACTTGACCAAGATATAAGTGATTCTCCTAAGAAGAATGTGTATCCAGAGATTGCTTTATTATTCTCTTGTATCATACTGTCTGTATTAGTGTAACCAATAATATTATTATGGTTCCCTTGTCCTAGTAGTAACCATTTGTCTTTAGTTCCCTTTAAGTAATGTATGTAATACACAATAGTATTATAATGTAACATAGTAGGGCATTTTAAGTATTTTACAAGTTGAGATGTTATAAACACTATGTCAGGTTGTGTACAATCTGCTATATATTGTAGGAATCCAACTATATTCATATACAGTATTCTGGACATAAATGTGTGTTCATCTTCTAGTAGATTATTGTCTGTAACTAATTGAGTATTTGGTTGTATAGGTGTTTGCAAGTTCTTTTTGTTTTGCAAGTTATATTGAATTAATACATTTTCAATATAATGTTTCTGTCTCATCATAATTGTTCAATCAATTTGATTGTGTTTGATTTCTATACCTAGTAACTAATGTAATTCACTATGCGATTTCTCTTACTCTGTATGTTTGCCTAGTAGGAATAATGTGTACCATACCAGTTAATAAACAAATAACTGTACAAATCATATTAAAAGGTCCCAAATGGTTCTTTGATTCAGGAAAAGGTCCAACAAAGTCCATTCCTATGCCTTCCCAAGGCTTATTAGGTACTGAGAGCAGATGTAGTAGACTAAACGGTTTCTGATTGTTAGTTTTGCTAATCTTGCATGTATGACACAAATCACAGTAGGAATTAATGTTTATGATCATATCCTTCCACCAAACTTGTTCTCTAAGGTACAAAAGTGTCTTTTGCAGTCCTAGGTGTGCCAAAATAGAATGTGCATGCTCTATTACAATTTCCCTAGTGTTTCTGTTGTGTATTAGAATTCTAGGTATGTAAAGTATGTACCTCTTACCCTCCTGGCAAAATATGAGTCCATTTTCAACATGAAAATTCTGGAAGTGCTTTGGATCTTGTAATATCTGATTGAAGAAGTTATCCTCATGATATCTGCCTTTGAGACATTCTGGGAATTGTAAATCTAGTAAAGATTGAGCTATTATATCAGGTAATTAAGGTTCAATTGAGTTCCAGAGTTGATCAGTAGTGTTCTTTGGTACTGGGACGTTCTGATCATTAATTTCCAATCTAATATCATTGTCTGAATGTCTGTATCCTTGTGTATTACTTCTGGTGTCTGGTACGTTTGTAGGTGAATTTATTTCATGCAAATCTGATTGTTCAGTGTTCTGAGACAGTGTTTCTGATACCTCACTGTGTGTGTCCGTTTCCTGATCTCACTCTGTGTTCTCTGGTATTGTAAACTGGCTTCTAGTCCTTGTAGCAGGCATGCCCTCTGTTTGGAGGTCTGTCTGTGAGTTCCTAGCATGTCTGGTAATTAATCTAGCCTTTCTGCTGTGTAGTCAACTTGCAATCAATCCTCAAGGTGAAGTTTTCCTTACTACTGCTAGTCTAGCCTCAATATATACAGTATCCTGTATCTCTAACAGCTGTGAAATGTTATTCCTGACTTGATTAATCCTTGATAGATCATTGTCATTGAGTTGTAGTGTATATTCTTACTGAGATCAAGTTGTTCCTAGTAAATCTCCTGAGTATATGCATGATAATGTGTCTGCAAGAATGTTTGTAGTGTCTGGAATGTATTTTACAGTGAAATCAAAGTCTGATATCTTCTCTAACTATCTGGCTTGTCTTCCACTTAATACTGGTTGCCTTAGAATGTGTTCTAACACTCTGTGATCAGTATACCAAAAGAAATACGTTCCCTGTAGTAGATTTTTGTGTCTTAGCATAGTTTCTACTCCTGCTAGTAATTCTACATTGTGTACTAGGTAATTC